AAGAGCTCGAGATTGAGCTTGAATTTTGCTCCAGTTATGTTTGAAATTTCAATAAAAATGTCATGTGAGTTTATTTATATATTTTTATGTATACTCGTGTGGCTCGTCGAGCTCTTGAGCACCCGAGCTTGGTTTGAGATCGAATTCCAGATGCTCGAGCTCGGTCAAATTTGACTGCAACTTGTAGAACTAAATCTAAATTCATTATTATTGGGCTTAACGGCCCGACTAAAGATAATTTGCGAATCACATCTTATTGGATCAAGCGGCCCAAATTAAGACTATTATCCTCTCCTGATTGGTTCTCAGCCCTCGAAAGTTTCAGTCCGAGCTCCTTAGATGTTACCCGCGGCGACGCTGGCCATGTCTCCGCCGTGCTTAACGGCCGTGCGCGCGGCGGCGAATACGAAACCCTCCTCCGCGCGCCCTCCGAAGAGGTCCCAACCCCAAAATCTCACCACCACCGCCGCCGCCGCCGCCCAAGGTTTCGGGGGCAAAAGAAAAGATCCCGTGTGGCAGTGCATACAGAACTGCGGCGCCTGCTGCAAGCTTGACAAGGGCCCCACTTTTCCAACCCCTGAGGAATTCTTTGACGACCCTTCTGATATTGAGGTCTAATTCATTTGTACGTTTCTCGTCATGATTGATTTTTTTTTTTTATTTCATTCATTTTCTAATTAATTATTATTCACATTTGACCTGAATTCTCCAAGTTGAAATTTCGATTAAGCTGAATTTGTGATTTTAATGTACTGTTTGATGGGTGGGTGAGCATGAAAGGGCTGAAATAGAGAGCATATAAAGTGAGGGAAAAACTAAGCAGAACTTCTTGTATGAGTCGACCTAACGTGAGTCGGGTTTGATAAGAACGTATACTTATGCTATGAAATGTTGTACTTTTGTTGTTAAAGTATTCAGTTGGAAAGTACGTAAATGTATTGAAAAGCTGAGGACTCAATGTTTCTTTTGCGTCATACGTGTGAATTAATTTGTTATCAGCTGTACAAAAGCATGGTTGGTGAAGATGGGTGGTGCATAAACTATGATAAGGGATCAAGAAAATGCTCCATTTATGCCGGTAAAGTGAAAATTCTCTGTTTTTACCAAGATCCTTATAAGCTCATATTGCATAAGTTTTAAGGATTGAAATGTTTGTGGTGTATAAAAAGCTTTTCATTTGGGAATTTTTCAGAGCGTCCTTACTTTTGCCGGGTCGAGCCCGGGATTTTCGAGGCCTTGTATGGTATTGACAAGAAGAAATTCAACAAGGAGGCTTGTAGGTATAAACAAAACCTAAAAAACCTTTGTCTGAATCTTTTGATATCAACTGATTCATTTTTATTTTTCTTTTCCTTTTCGTTTTTGACAGTTGCTGTGTGGACACGATTAAAGCTGTTTACGGCACAAACTCACAAGAATTGGAAGAGTTCAATCAAGCTATATGGAGCAGCTCTCAGAAATGAGGAATCTTGTCAGTGTAGTTTTATTTTTCTTTTTTCAACATCTTTTGTCTAGTGAAAGTTAGGTTGATTTAACATTTTTTATCAATTTTGTAGTCATTTATTACAGAATTTGCTTATTGTTATCTTGGACTTCAAAGCAATTTAAAATAATAGAAACTCATAACTAGCAGGCATGGAGATTCTGGTGAAGGAAAAAGCTTCTATAAGATCAAATACCTCAATTAGTCCTCCAAACATTTATGAAGTACATGAAATTTAACGGTTAGTCCACCGTTCAAATATTTATATTTAAATACTGAAATGTCATTCTAAAATATAATATAAATAAAAGTATGATATTTCATAGCATAATTTTATGATTTCTGAACAAAAATTGTGTAAAATTTCGTCAATGTGATAATTGATATACCACTTACCATTTTAGATTCAATTTATCAAATTCACAAGGCTTTGGCCCATGATCCTACATTTTACTACAAAAGTACCTCTTGGACCAAAATTTTCCAATTATCAACAAGTCAACTCAACACACATATCTTACACCATCTTCATATAAACTTCACTTGCCAAAAAAGACATCATAAAACTCAATCTTTTAGTCCCAAAATTTTATTCCACAGAGAAAACCTTAGTCTCCAACTGATAACCCTTGGTAAAGAAAGATGGCCATGAAAGATAAGTGGACAAGATACTACTAACAGTCGAGGCCCCGATGAGCATGTTCATGACCACGATTTGAAGCTGTATGGCCTCGAGAGGCGAGGCCCCGCCCATTATGAGGCCCGTCATGGCCCCCGGGAGAGAAATAAGCCCGACCGTTTTGGCATTGTCCAAAACCGGGGATAGCGCAAGTACGAGCGCCCGTCTCACTTGTTGCACGGTTGCCTGTCGAGGGGTGGCCCCGAGAGCTAGTGCCGTTTCTACCTGAAAATAAAATAAAATAAAACGATGCATTGGTTAAGATTTCGAGTCGATGGTATGAGGAAATGTTCCAATAATTTGTGACTCATGAATAGTGCTTTAAATTAAACGAGTCTGGTTCTGCTCAGCTCGTTAAGGCTCGAGTCTGGTTCGGCTCGTTTGATAAACGAGCAGAGTTCGAGCTCATTCAAAATCCGTTTGGTTAATGAGTCGAGTTCGGCTCGGCTTGTTAATGCTCAAAAAGAGAATTTTTATATATTCTAACATAATTCAGCTCGTTAAAGCTTGAGATCGGCTTGAACTCGGCTCGTTATGAGTGGTAAATGAGCCGAACTCGAGCTCGATTTCTGGACCGTTTATTTACGAGTCGTTAAGGGTTCGAGATCGAAATCCATCATGCAAGTAACTGTCAAAAAGTCTCGAAAATATCTCAAAAAAAATTGAGACACGTCGTATTATGCAACCCACGCTTCACGCCATTCATCCCATTATCACACAATAACCGAACGATATAACTATCTAACGTAATAGATTCGCTAAAATTACCAGATTCAATTGGATTTTGATGTCGTCCCTCAACTTTTTCATGGTGACGCCTGTGACCGTCATGGCATTTCCGACCATCATTCCGGCCACCGGAATAATGTACCTCGGCGTGAAAGGGAATACTTTTAAAATCACTAACAAAAACATCGTAATCGAGGTCCCGACCAGAATCGAGACCCCGGCTATGTATTTCCCTCGAGGCACGTGCTTGGCACGTTGTCCAGCTGTGTAACCAGCAACAGAGACCTGTTTAGGAGGGGAAAATAAAAGATGAGATAAAATTTAAGTTAAATTCTTAGCTAACTTGCTTGTGACAGGCAAATAAATTGCCTGAGAATAGTTCAAAATATGAGTGGATATTGGATAATAAGATATGTCAGTGTTATTGAATTAAATATTTTCTGTGACTAAATAGAGAATTGAAGAATTCTTGCTTTCTATTTCTGTAGTTTGGACATGAAATTTTTGAACATTCAGATAAGAATTATTTGATTGGGTCAAGAAATTGCTACTCTTCTTTTCCCCGAAAAAATAAAAATGGGAAATTCATGCAAAATTGGAAATACCCCAAATCACTATATTTATCTAATTAGATAACTTTTTTAGATGGAGTTATGATTGGATATAATTTTTTTCCTAAAGAAGTCAGTATTTATCTAATTCAATTATTTTATCTCAATATTATCAAATAATAAATTCAATCATTAGTCTACATTTTTTTTCACTAAAATTCATTTACTCATCCATTCACACCATTATTAAATAATTATGCTCAATACATTGAGATCCTCGAAATTATTGCATTCTTCTTTCAAGTTCCACCCAATCACAACTCACAAGCAATATTTTCAGTTTTCTTGTAAAATAATTTAAATATCTAATGGTACAATTTCCGAAGAAAATAATAATAATAAATGAATTAATTTACATACCATGAAAAGATAAGCCATGACAATCCAAACAGCACTCTTCTGATTAAAAATGAAATCCAAAACAAACCCAATAATAGAAAGCTGCAAAAAGGCCCTGAGAATCGAGTACACCATTTCCCCTTCCAAACCCAGCCGCTGCAACCACGACAGCACCGCCGCAAGCGCCACCACCACCAGCGCCGCCGCCGGCTTCACCATCCCCTTCAGAAACTCCGCCGCCCATTCCCAATCCATATTACCTCTCAACAAACAAACCAAAAAACAAACACCCCTAAATTGCAGGTACACAGATTCCGTATAAATAAGCAAAAATAAAATATTCAAAATCGACGAAATTTGTCTGATTTTCGATCGGATTTTTTCGCAGTATATACCTCCCCTTGATGGTGTCAAAAAGGTCTACTTTTGAGGTGAACTCGTGGAGTTTGTATTTGAAAATGTCAGGGGAAAAAGTGGGATTGACAGCTTTCTTTCGTCTTTTTGTTAGACGGATCTAAAAATTAGACCGGTTAGGAGGTGAATTTATCTTTATAAATATGCACTTTTTATTAGAAATATTATATTTTAATATTTACTGATGGTATAAGTACACAGTTAAGATGGTCTTTTGTTAGGTTGACCTAAACATTAAACCGGTTAAACGATATATTCTTCTCGTGGATATGCATACTTTTATTAGAAAATATTATATTTTAACATTTATCGATGGTATAAGTATAAGTATTGATGGTATAATTATATATTTTGATTCATATAATATGACAGGTCGATCGTCTAATCGTTAGGATAGTCTTTTTGTTAGGTTGACTTAAACATTAAACCAGTTAGATAAAATATTTTCATCACAAATATTCATACTTTTTATTAAAAAAATATTATATTTTAACATTTATTAAAGGTAAATATACATTTTAATTCATATAATATGACATGTCGATGGTTTAACTATTAGCATGATCTTTTTGCTAGGTTGACCTAAACATTAAACCTGTTAGGAGGTATAGTTTTCTCACGGATATGCATACCTTTTATTAAAAAAAAATATATATTTATTTTAGCATATATTGATGGTAAAAACATATATTTTGATTCATATTTTAATTTTTTATTTTTTTTCATTATCTTATGGGTAAGTGGGTATATGCGTTTTGTGGGGTTGGACCATTTGGGTGATAGTGATGAGGAGAGGTACGTACGACCACATACGAATGGTACCATTCGAAAAATGGGGCGAACAAAGTAATTTAAAAGATTCCATTTGACAGTTTTTGTCAGGTCTTATCAGTTATGAGTTAAATTGCTGACTTTTGTGCTTATTTGAAATAAAAAAAAACTCTTAATTCATAAAAAAATGTACATATAACCAAAAAATGATGTAGTCAGACTATTATATATGTGTATAAAGGTCCTAAACCTTAAACGAAATAGTAATTAAATTAATTAACAAATATGAAGTGTTTAAAATATAGAGACAAAAATGAGATGCAAAATAGTGGAATTTCAGCTCATGCTCACTTAGTTCATAATGTCAGATGCAAAGAGTTCAATCAGAATCGTTGTTCCGCTTTCGAAAACTGCATATTATAATAGCAATTTCGAGTAGATATACTAAGACCATAGTTGGTTATAAATTATCTTGTCACTTTTGATCAGATAATTTATTTAACTCAAACTATAGCTCAATTGAACTATTATCAATCTTATCAATACAATTAAATAATATTAATCAATCATCCTTACATTACAAACTTCAATTCATTATTCAACCATTTACATAATTTTAATTACCTATCAATTTCAAACACATATTTTCAATTTTTACATCAAATCAACTATAATTATTACATTTAAATAGTATTGTAATACAAATTCATAATCTCAATCACTCAACTCCATCTACTTTTTCAAACTTAATTCTGATTATTCAACAAATCCAATCAAACTTAAAATCACTTATATTCCATAGCCGCCCTAAATCTTTTTGGATATGTACATAAAGCTCAATTTAAAATAATTGGATTTATTAATTTTCATGAACAATTTTTCAGCTCATTCTCCAATATGTCCAAATATTGGTTACATTATTGGCCACGTACATAAAGCTTATATGGGCCAGCAAGAAAAGTGATTTTGGCTATATGCTTATCACAGTAAGCACTGGCCGTATCATATCTGGCCAGGTTCTATTCAGCTATTTAAANTCGACTATTAAACTTTATGGATTTTTCTTTTATTTTTTATATTGAATCATTTTTCAATAATAAATTATGTAATGGTTATAAATTATACATATTTATACAAAAATAAAATTTTGCTTTTTAATTATACAAAAACTTTTATACAAAAATAAAATTTTGCTTTTTAATTATACAAAAACTTCTTATAGAGTCAACCATTATAAAATGTGAAAGTTAGTATAGTTGCAAATTGCAATTGAACATAAAACTTCATAAACGTGTAAATAAAAATAAATTTATAGACGGATAATGTAATTTTCTAAAAAAAAAAAGGTTGTCGAATTTGCTCGAAGTCGTGGATCGCTCGGTCTGCTTTAACTACAGGTCCAATTTGGCCCAGAACACTGGCCCAACACTCTTTAGTCGCATAAAATAATTTTATTAAAAACAACAAGGCCCAAAGTATAATTATGCCAAAATAAAGAGTTTTAAGCTGACATTTTCATCAACTTGGACCACACTGCATCTGCCCACTGTAAAGTGAAACCCCTCTATCGTTAAAACCCCTAATTCGACCAATTTCAAGTGTTTTTGTCACTCAGAGAGGGTACCAAAAATTAGCCATAAAATGAGTCAGCTGAGCCGAGCCGCCGTGAAATGGAGCCGCCTGATCGGAACGGGTCAGGCAAGTCGGCCGCCGCCTTCGGCCATCTTCTCGTGGCCGAAGCTGTTCTCAACTGAAGCGGCCGACCCGAGCCTTGGCTCCTCTGACGATCCGTTTAATCTAAATCCAGCTGGTTCTTATCGTTCTAATTGATTTGATTTGGTTTTATCTGTTTTCAGTTTAAGGCTTGTTGTGATTCGACATTTTGTATTTTCTGTTTCAGGATTTAGGGTTTTGGGGTTAGATGATTTTGGTGGTAGTATGATTAAATTGATTTAGATCTTTGTGTAGGGTTATTGTTTTGTTTGTTCGTGGGTTTTCTGGTTCGTTATCTGAGTGTTGAGTGAAATGTTATTTGAGAAAATGATGGCATGTAATGTTGTCATTTTATTTTTACCCCTTTTTCATTATTTTATACCTCAGTTCTTCACGTTTCTAATTGTTATTTGCTGGTAGAAAGATAGTTCGTCTACTAAACATGCAAAAGTATTGAATTATGCAAGTAGTTTTATGGGGTTTTTATTTGGAATTGAATGTTTCAAATAATGGGTCCAATGTACACATCTTCAATCATCTTGGTCTTGCTCTTGTACGATGATGATACTAGGCATTAATCGATGTCTACCAGCCAAAATTTCTAAATGTTGTATTTTCAATTTCAGGTCGGGTTTATGCGAAACTCACTAACATCACTAGGCACACAACAAAGACTGATGTACTCCATTTGCTCGACGAGTGTGGATTGAATCCAGAAAACCTGAAAGTTGAGTACAATTTAAGCTATACTCCCCAGTCGATGTAAGAATCTCCTCTCAACGTATTGCATCGATACTAGGGAAACAAGAGGGATATATGCTTTACCTTATCGGATGTCTTTTGTGTAGGATGGTTGAATTTTCCTCTGGAGAAGCTTATAGTGCTGGTCTCAAGGCAATTAATCGGGCTGGTCGCGTTTATAATATGAAAAGGGTAAGATTTTAAGGCCTGCAGCATTATTACATTTTGGCAACATTCATTTTTTTTTTCTTTCTTTTTTTTCCCCACCTCAGATTCTGAATTGATTTTCAAACTTGTTCTAGGTTGATAAATCTGATTGGGACACAACTGTTCCTTATGATGGAAAAGTGGTGAGGATCAGTCTAGGATCTTGCATTATTGCTTCCTTTTTTATTTATTTATTTATTATTATTATTATTATTCATTGGTTATTATATTCGGTTAATTTTGCTCCTCTCAGATTTTACTGTATGCACTGCCTCGAATTGCACTGATGGATGATATTGAGCGGTTCCTTTCTGGTTGCCAATACGATTCATCGTCGATTGAGATATTTAACAGGTTATTTTGCTGCCATGCTATTAACAATGGCACATTCTATTTTTAGTTCGTGAACTTTTACTGAATGTTCGAGTTCGTTGGTTAATAAATCCAGGCCGAGCAATCCAAACAATGTCGGCAACGCCAGTAGCGTTCGGATGGGACTCGTGCGCTTCCCTTCCCAAGCCCTGGCCACGCACGCATTCATTACCAAGAACAGAGGCTTTTGTCTTAATGCCCAAATCTCGGTTCATGTTCTCCATTAGCTTCGAGTTTTGGTGTAATGGGGAAATTCTGTGAAGCAGTTTTAAGTTTTCCAGTTGTTGGCAATGCTATTGGCATTATATAATCACGGTTCGAGGCACAAGTTTGACTCGTTATGCACATGCTTCATCTTTCAATTTTAATCGTATTTTGTTTTTGGGTTATATAATTATGTTACTCGTACTTTTGCTTGATAATAATTGATCAGAATGTCTGCTTTCGTAACCCAGCAATGCATTAATCCTAGGAAATTTAGCTTCTAAGGTAGTTTTGGGAATCAGATTTAGAATATGCCACCTTTGCCTTTTATTTTTTTTCAGATTTAGCTGAACTTGCATTTGTTGCTAAATCTTATTTCATATTGAGAAGTATGTTATGGGCGTGTTCAATATGGTTTTGTATGGTACCACATATTTGCTGTTAGTCTCATTTTGCTGACCTATATTGCAGTTTCTAATTTTATTTTAATTTCATTATCGACCCATCTTGTCGATATACTTTCTTGACCTTCGACTATAAACACTCAACCTTTTAGGCTTAGTCGTTTATGAAAGTTTAAGGGCTTATACGCATCTATGTATGCTTAGAATAAGTAAATATTTTTGTTATAAAATATAATGAGGTATCCCGCCTAACAATTGGGTTGTTCATACAAAACTGTATGCATTAAAAATAATCTATTTGTACAAATGTTACTGTAGGACTGTGTAATATTAGGTGTTAAAAAATATAGTAGCTTTTACCTTTTCATTGACACTCCTTTGATTTTATTACACCCAATTTAGTGAATGGAAGTTGGACTCTTGTTTAAGTTGCTAATTAATTCATGTTTCATTTGCTTTTCACTTTCTCTCTTTTGTTATAATCTTATTGTCAGGATCTGGTGTTTGCTTAATGAAAAGGCAAAATAGCTCGTTATATCACGACCTTTTACTAAATTGCTAAAACATCACGACTTTTGGACCTTGGTGTAGAATATCACGACCTTTGAATTCTTTGCAAAACGATACACAGAAGTCAGAAACCGGCCATCGGTGCTTACGTGTCCGGCTAACCTTTTATTATGTGGAATTAAAAATTTGATGTGTAAAATTTAATTTGACGTGGATGTTGACATAGAAAACTTGTATATATGAATTATAGTAAAGTCAACAAAACCTATTGTTTTTGTTTCACCCACATTAAAAAAAATGAATAAATAAATAAAAATAAAACACACACACACACACACACTATCACGCAGTGAATATTCACAGACACCAAGCCCGCTCTTCCCTTTATTCCCATGGCAACCACACCGGTTTTTCTCTTTTTGACAATCGACCACCACCTTAGTCTTCTCTACATCAAATTACAATGTTGACTCCTTTCTATTATCTTCCTCACTCTTTATATTGCACAATTTGGAAGTGTTCTAGCCGCATCAATGGCAGTGAAAAGCATCGAGGATCCATAAAAAGCGAGCCATTAGCCTTGAATGATGATGGTAATGCAGACCCACAAGGCTTGAGAGCCCGACCCGAAACAAATTGGTCCGCTCGTTGCTTCTCGAGATCTTTCATTTGAGCTCACCAAAATGGGACGCCCTCTTCAGCGAGCACGGGGAATTTGGGGATGACCCGAGTAGTGAAATAAGGTCAAGCAAGAAGGAGCAGGAAGTCCCTCCCAGCAGCTTCATCCACCTCCCGACACCGGCGGGCTGGTCGGGCTGCTTCTAGTCTCAGACCGACTGCTCATTCGACGCTATCGGGAATGGCAACTCCGCGGTGAGCGACTTCCCCGGCGGAATTCGGTGCGGCCGTCGTCTGGCAGCTCCGGCGACTATGCTGGCTGCGTGGCGAGGTGCCGAGACTCGAGAGAATTGAGGGAGAGAGAAAATTAGGGTTAAATGAGAATAAATTTGGGGAAGGAGATAAGAGAATTTGAGAAGAAATTGGGCTATTTATACTTGTTTTCCATGTCATGCTACACGTGGGACAAATATATACACATCAGATTTTTGATTTCAGGTTGGTCGGACACGTAAGCACCGATGGCCGGTTTCTGATTTATGTGTATTGTTTTGCAAAGAATTCAAAGATCATGATATTCTCCACCAAGGTTCAAAAGTCGTGATGTTTTAGTAATTTGGTAAAAGATCGTGATATAACGAGCTATTTTGCCTAATGAAAATTACACTCATTTGTCTAGGAAACATCCATTTACTATTCACATCTCGTGGTCACTTTATAATCACCTTAATTTAATAGATTTGCACATTTTTCTTTACCTTAATTTTTTTTCAATAGTCCCCTTCTCACTTTCATGTGCTCGAAGAGATAACCATCAACTTTCAAAATGAAAAATTAGTGGTATAATAAAATAAGACATAAAACTTGGCTTTACCTAGTAAACTTCAAATAAAAACTAATTTGTGCCGCCAATAAATAAATCTCATTTGACCAATTGCTTTATACCTTGATGATCTCCTCGTAGAAATTTTATACATTCAAAGTTTTGAATATTATAATGATGTCATATATGTACAAGTGAACACAAAATTCATGAAAGTGGAACAAGAAATCTAATCTCATTATAAGAGACCATAAATTCCAGCCACCTTCCCCTGAAATAAAGCCAGCATTTCATATTTTTAAATTACTATATAAAACATACAGTTTTGCTATGGAGCCATCCACACTTATTCACCAATGGTGTATTGACACGTGTCCTACAATAAATACATTTTGGACAGGTATCAATACATTAAGTAGTGAATGACTCCATAAGAAAACCATCCGATGGCTCTATAGAGTTTTTGATAAAACATATATAAAAATCATAAGCTTGGAACAATTTTTAATTTTGGAACAATTTGCGACATATTAAGAACCAAAGAGCTATTACGTGTCATATGTGGGGTAATCCATTTATTATTGTAAATTCCGCGGCTATAAAGAATGAGGCCACAATATAGCAATTGGCAATTTGGTATTAGCCCGATAGTTTTGTGAAACACTAAGAATACGAGCCCAATGGGTAAAAGATCCCGCTTCAATTGTGGACGTGCGGCCCAATATGAACTCAAGGCACGTGTCAGAATCGTAAAGGATAAACTACAGTAGCAAAATTCTCGTCGTCACGCACGCTCAAGGCACGTGACCTGGTTTCCCTTTGCCACTATCACACACTACGAGCGGTCAAACCGCACGCAGGCGCAAAAATGTATACATACAGAGAGCGAAAGGCGAGGATGAGAGAGAAAACAACCGAAGCGGAGAAAGAGGGAAACGAACGGTTATCCGTCGAGCTTCAGGCGTTTGTATGGCTTCAAATTTCGGGGACAGTTCCACTCTCCGATCCCGAGTGATTACTACGCGCCGAGCCCCCGAAGTCCAGCTCAATTTCGAGCCCAAACGGTAACGCCATATCACATGTGTGTCCGCGTTTGTGTGTATATGTGTGTTTGTTGGAATTTTTATATTGACGTTGAGCGAATTTTGTGGTCGACACGTGTGGCAATGGCAGCCATTTTTGTGGAATTGAGAGAGAGAGAGAGAGAGATGGACCTGAGGACATGTGTGTATGTGTTGGTATTTTTAATATTGACGTCAGTTTTGAGCGAATTTTGTGTTTGACACGTGTGGCAGTTGTGGAATTTGGGAATAGAGAGATGAAGCTGAGGACAGTTAGTTTTCTGTTTTGTGTGTACGTAGGCCGTTACGATCCATGATCTTGCGAGTTAACTCAGTTTTACTGGTCTCCTTGATCGGAGTGTGTTGATTAGGATAAACTGCAGATTAAAGACGGAGAATAGATGGTAATGTCGATCATCTCCATTTGATTATTTTTCGTACCGAGTTTGGTTCCGGCCAAATTTGAGATTCGAAGGTAGATCAAGTGAAAGAGATGGAAAATTCGTGTTTGTGTTATTATCGAATGGCTAAAGGGAATGTTGGGTAGTCCTTTGATTGGAGTCTGTTTTCATTGACAAGCAGAGAGATATGGGCGGTAAAATTAGAGTTTTTGTGAAGTATGTTGTTGTCCTTGTTGAGCAAACGTTCATTGAATGATGATTCAAGGTAAAATCATGCTACAAAGGGACCGTGTTTACTCGGATATTTCAGATCTTAGCTTTCTGTTTGAATTCGATACCTATAATGGCATTGAAAAAGATCAATATAAATGAGGATGTATGACTTTTGCGTATATAAAGGTCTTTTTCGTTTTATATGTTCACAGGGATACATATGGATTTACTGTGAGACCTCAACATATTCATAGATATCGTGAGTATGCCAGTATCTATAAGGTAAACCTCTTTTGACTTATTTGGTTAAAGCGGCCATATCTCCTGTTTTTCTGTTTCATCTTTTGTCTTTTTTATCTGTTCCATATTTTCAAAAATTGACGGAACATTTTTACGTTTTGGGATATTTGTAGAATTCATTATGTAACCATGAGAGGCTCGCTAACTATAAATGTTCCAGGAGGAAGAAGAAGAGAGACTGCAAAAATGGAAGAGCTTTCTTGAGCAGCACGCGAAATTTACTAATGAATGTCTTTCTACTGAAGGAGAAAATGTTAGACCTGTGGTTTCCGAGCTTACCGAGCAGCCAACTGATTATTCTCAAACAGTAAATGGAGAAAAGAAGGATGATTCAACTCATGAGAAAACGGAGGATCATGAAGTGGCAGCAACGAAAACCAAGCCAGTTGAAAAAGTGAATGATGACATTGAAGAGGCAGCTACTAAAACTGAGCCAGTTAAAAAGGTGAATGATGATATATGTGAAAAGAGGTCAGTTCCCGACACCCAGGAGACCGAGGAAGCGGGAACGACCAAGCATGGAAAATTCCGTGAGGTGCAGACATGGGCTAAAACTAGTCCATCTCTGAATGCCATTGAACATATGATGAGTTTACGTATAAAGAAGAGAAATAACGTGGGTACTGAGACAAAATCTACTCGAAATCATCTTCCATTGATTGATGAGGGACCATCGGGAGAAGAATCCGAAAATGATGAGAAGGATGTATCCAATGACAATGAGATGACTGATAATGCAGATGCTCCTGCAATGGAAAGTGGTGACGCTGATGGAATGTCTCCAGAAAATTTTTTACCTTGGAAGGAAGAACTTGAGTTTCTTGTTCGAGGAGGAGTGCCTAAGGATCTTAGAGGAGAGGTAAAGTTCCATACATCTTGAAGTGTAAGGGTCATTAAATATGCCATATGTAGCATAAAGTTTTTATTTTTTGCCTTTACTGGATGGGACAGGTGTGGCAAGCCTTTGTTGGTGTTAGAACTCGTTGGGTGGAAAGCTATTACCAGGATTTGCTGGATACAGAAAGTGACCCAAGTGATGGAAAAGAGCATGATAAAATGTGGTCGGGAGATAATAGGACGCAACCCAGCTGGAAGAAAAATGATGTCCCAGAAAAGTGGAAAAAGCAGATTGAGAAGGTCATTAGATGCATGGGTCCTGGACTTTATCGTTCAATCTTTTTAATTCGTAGGTGCTGCTTCTTTTTGAGGTTCACGTGAGATGATCTTCAAGAATGCGTTATTGCTAATTGTTCTCCTGTTCACTTTTAATCCTGCATGATTTAGTACATAATATATGAATGAAATTAGGTTTCTTATGGACCATATATGATGTTCCTTGTGTTGCTTTAATGTTGATGAAATCTCATCAGCCTTAGCCCTACCTAATGGATTCTTGTTCTCTTTTATCTTTAGTGGAGATTTGTTTTGTTTGGTTTATTCTTACCTTGAACTTTCGTGTGGTTTCACTATTGAATTTTCTTCCCTCCTAACATCTCTATATGTTGTCATAAGGTTTGTTGTTTCTCTACTCATTTTTGTTTTACATGTTGGTTCAAAATTCCAAAAAAACTAACTTCTTGTTGGTTGCTTCAGGACTTGCCACGAACATTTCCAGGGCATCCAGCATTAAACGATAATGGAAGAAATTCACTAAGGCGTGTACTTTTGGCATATGCACGGCATAACCCCTCCGTTGGGTATTGCCAGGTGACTGTCAGGCGATGGCCTTTTCTCTGTTTCTTTTATTTCTCATTCCTTTCATTAGTCTTTTGACCACAGGAGAAAAGAAAAAGGCGATAACTTCATTGCTAATCTTTCTTTAGGTTTCTTACTTTTTCACCATATGTGCAGGCAATGAATTTCTTTGCTGGCTTGTTACTGTTGATGATGCCTGAGGAAAATGCATTTTGGTAAGTTTCAAAGCTTTACCTCTGTCCTTCTGTTTGGGCATGGATAATTTTGATAACTTAGGGATTGAATAGATTATAATTTCATAAAATACTGGTGACAGGAATTCTATTTATTCGTAACTTGTTGGTCCAAAATCAAATTAACCTTTTGCTATTTGTTGAAAGTATTCAATCGTTTGTTGAGGAGAGAATGAAAGGATAAGCAATACGTTGAATAACCTGATTTATGAAGGATAAAGAAGAAATCATTCAATCACATTAGCCATGTAAAACTAATTTGCATACTTGTATATTGGGTAAATTGCACCAAACCCCCCTGTGTTTAACGAAATGTGCGCGTTTTCCCACTGTGTTTTAAAAAATGCTCCAGACCCCCTTATATTTAAAGGTCCGATGCACACGTTCCCTTTTTTCAATTGCCCCATTAACGGTGTTAGTTTTTATCAAAAACCCCGTTATACCCTCTAAATATTATATATATATATATATTTACGATAAATTGAATTTATCACGATATATTGAATATATCGCGAGAAATTAAATAAAAAAAATAAATATTATATATATATTTACGATAAATTGAATTTATCACGATATATTGAATATATCGCGAGAAATTAAATAAAAAAAATTTGCTGTCTCTAGGGATCGACCCTAAAACCTCATGAAAGAATAGCAAGCGCTTCACCACCACACCACTCAAGGTTGAGTGCTAGATGTAGTAATGTTTAATATATATCGCATTACATATAGATAAAGGAAATTAAATTTAGAAGATAATGTAAATTATATTAGATTAAATTATTAAAATATAAACTTATAATAAGTTAAAATATAATAACTAAATTATATAAAATTAAACGAAAAAATAATTAAAATAACTTATTATATTAAAAAACACAAAATAATTGAAATAAAATTATAAATAAATATAAAAATTACAGTTATATTATAATAATATTATTGTATTTATTTAATATTATTTTTATATATTATTATTTATTTTAATTTATATTATTACATATTATTTTGTTGCATTATTCATTTTATTTTATCTTAGTTAACAAACTTTATTTATTTTGTTTAACTTAAGACAATGAAATAAAATTAAAATAAATTTTACTAAATAAAATTTTAGAAATTAAAATTATTTACTAAAAAATATAATTTATTTCAATTTTTTTTCATATTTTATGTAAGAGTAAATCATATTAAAATTATTTGATAAATAATATTTTTTATTTTATTATATTAATTTAAGATTTTTATTTATTTAATTTATTATTTCATAATAAGTTATTTATTTTACTTTATCATTTTTTTACTTTATTATCTTATATAATTATTATTTTTATTTTAATTTTATTTATCTTTTAATTTAATTTATGTATTATTTTTTCATTTAAAAATTATATAATTAATTTATTTTAATAATTAAAATATAAATCTATTTAATTTTAATCGACGCTACTATATTAAATTTTATCTTACATTATTTTAATTTAATGTTTTTTATTATTTTATGTCAATTTAATTTATTGGAAATTATTATTAGTATTATTATTATTAATTACTTAATTTATAGTAAATTGGCCTATTATACTATTATTTTCTTTTATTTACTTTATTTTAAAATATTTAATTCATTTCCGTATGTGTATAAATATACTTATGTTCAATAGATTATAGATCCTTCCATATAGCCCAGTGGTTGAGTGGGCAATCCTTCCCTTCCCAACCCAGGATCGAATCCTACTTTCCACATTTTATACAATTTTAGATTTTGCAATCACATTTAAGAGGGTAAAAAGGTAAATTATTAATTATGTAAAATAAAAAAATTGAACAAATCTCGCAGCTATAGAAGGTGTCGCGCGGTTAACTTGGACGGAATGGGGGAACCGTGCATCAGACTCTTAAATATAAGGGGGTCTGGTGCATTTTTTAAAACACAGTGGGAAAACACGCATATTTCGTTAAACACAGGGGAATTTGGTGCAATTTACCCCTTGTATATTCCAAATGCATCTTAATGTAACATTATGGTATGTTGTAAATGGTAAAAAATGAGCTCAGATTTTATCAACTAGTTTGCTACAAAAACTTTCAGGACATTGGTGGGCATTATGGATGACTATTTTGAAGGCTATTTCTCACAAGAAATGACAGAATCCCAGGTTGATACACGTTAAAGTTTCTTTTTCTTTTTTTACTCCGTTTTAAGCTTCATCTATGCTCCTCTTAACCAAACAGAAATCACAGGTCTTTGTTTCTTTGTAGGTTGATCAGCTTGTTTTTGAGGACTTGATGCGTGAAAGGTTTCCTAAACTTGGTTTGGCCTCTATGTAAAAGTTTTCTCTTCCTTTTTTCTTATACTGAATATTGAGTTTCTCATTATTGCCATATCTTACACAGTGAATCATCTTGATTACTTGGGAGTGGAGGTGGCATGGATTTCTGGTCCTTGGTTCCTTTCGATATTTGTAAATATACTTCCATGGGAAAGCGGTGTGGACTTCTGCTATTGTCAATATCTCTTTGAGTTTCGATTATTTTACGGACCATCTCTCCAATTACACTATATAAAATTTGAATTATTATTATTATTTCCTCAGTTCTTCGAGTATGGGATGTGCTCTTGTTTGAAGGAAACCGTGTCATGCTCTTCCGAAGTGCACTTGCTTTGATGGATTTATATGGTAATGCTTACATTTCCTTTTTTTCTTTTCGAATTTAATTTCATTCAGAACAGATTGGACTATCATGCCTTATCATATGCAGGACCTGCTGTAGTTACAACGAAGGATGCTGGAGATGCTATAACCTTATTTCAGACACTCACCGGCTCCACATTTGACAGCAGCCAACTTATCTTGACTGCTTGCATTGGTTTCTTGACCATAAATGAAGATCGACTACAAGAACATAGGGAGAAGCATAGACCAGCTGTACTCACAGCAGCTGAGGAAAGAGAGAAAGGCAGTCGAGTTTTTAAAGATCCAAAGGGTCTTGCAACTAAGCTATACAGTTTCAAGCACAATCGACAATCAATGGTAATAGAAACAAATACTGAAGCAGAATCAGGTGATACGACAGATCCCAGAGAAAGATTTGACGCAGATTCTCATGCTGCCGATGCAGAAGAATTTCTAAAAGGCATGACCATTGATTCTGAAGTAGATTCTCTTCCAGATCTTCAGGAACAAGTAGGTTGCTTTCCATTTGAGTATGAAACATTGTTTACCTATTTGTAGTAGTATACTAGTATTTGATCTTCCATATTTGGAGCTTTACCCCTTGTAAAATACGTGTTCCATAATTCAAATCAAGTTTTCATGTTTGGATAGAATGTTCTTTTAATTTTTCTTAACTTATGGAAGGATAATAGTATGTGTTAGTTTTCTTCAGGTAGTTTGGTTGAAGGTTGAGCTGTGTAGGTTGCTGGAGGAGAAGAGATCTGCTATGCTCAGGTTAGTCAATTAAATGGTAGACAGCTGATATTGGACTGCATTATTATTATTATTATTTTATTTTAAGGATTTAAATATAGAGGCATTTAATAAAAAATTATGAGAGGGATGTAATGGTTTAGCAACTCCATATAGTGGATTAAGGCTTTCTTCTTGTCCTGTGCCTCCTATCATATTTTGGCCAACTTTGCATAAGATTTAGTACTCTCCCGGAGGAGTGTCGGAACATTTTTAACGAGAATCAAAATCTCATGATAATCTGTCTAAAATATGGGAACTCCCGAATATTATGTTTCTGTCTATGTGTGTATATCTGTTCAGAAAATATGTTAATATGCTGCACTATTTGCAGTATAAAAACGGTGGTTTTGCTTTTGTAGGGCTGAAGAATTAGAAGCTGCGCTGATGGAAATGGTTGAAAAAGATAACCGAAGGGAACTGAGTGCAATGGTATGTTAGAGCTCTCGGTGTCTTGTCACAGCACAGTGAATTAACTGAAACTATTCTCCATGATTGACTATAACACTAGTCCAAAGTATGAGGGAGACCATAATTTACTGGTTTTCTAGTCATAATACACTCATGGAGTATCTTTTCACTCTTGTTCTTATCATCCTTCTCAGTTTTCTCGAGATCCACCCACTAAGCTGCAATAAATTACAATTTGGTTATGAGGAAGCCCACATTTTAACCAACTCTCTCTCAAACTCTCTTGTGCTAAATCTGACTAATGAATTTTTTTCTGCAGGTTGAACAGTTGGAGCAAGAAGTTGCTGAACTACGGCAGGCTCTCGCTGATAAGAAAGAAGAGGAGAAAGCCCTTGTTCAGGTTTCTCTTTTTCCCACTTCATATCATAACATGTAAATTGAAAAAAATGGATGTTGATCTTTTTCAAGAACTTATTCAAGGTTGTGAGGACTTTATGTTTAGGTTTTGATGAAAGTTGAGCAAGAACAGAGGATAATTGAAGATGCTCGGCGTTTTGCAGAGCAAGAGGCTGCTGCTCAGAGACATGCAGTGCATGTTCTTCAGGTTCTATAACATTTTGTGTACTATTATTCTTCAATACATATATTTTTCTAGTACTGAATCTAATATGACGATTTTGATAAGTTTTGAACTTTACACCTGAACCCTGGAGGTGGAATTTACCTCATACAAATCCACACAAGAATAATAATNAAAAAAAAAAAAAGAAGGCCTGAAAACACCGACAACATGGAGTGATTGAAGACTAATTTTTTTTTCTTTTTAGTTTCTTTTTCCCCCGCTCTTCTCGATTAGAAAATTGCTGGTGATGTTACGAATTCTTGTCTGTGCAGGAAAAGTATGACAAAGCCATGGCAGATCTTGCTCAGATGGAAAAACGGGCTGTTATGGCCGAATCAATGTTGGAAGCAACATTACAGTATGAATCCGGGCAAAGTAAAGCCTTATCTTCGCCAAGGTAATGGGGCAATCTATCTCTTGGAACCTAAGTCATCATTACATCACCATAACTAAGAAACTCATTTCCCCTTGAGAAACTTATTGCCCTTGTAATAACGTTAAAGGTCGTTTTTGTGTGACATTTTTGTAGTCAAGGTAAATTTCAGGCTTAGAAGTTGTGCGCGATCCATTGTTTTGACATGAACTACTGCAAAACACATTTATTTCTTTTGTTTTTGGGAGAAGTTTGTTACATTGACCTAAAACATGTATTTTTTTTAGGGTTGGACGTGTAGATTCCCCAAAGGATACAACAAAGAGGACAGGTCTACTCTCTTTTGGCCTGGGCTGGCGAGACAGGAACAAGGCAAGTTTCTTTTTTTTTTTTTTTTCTTTTTTCTTTTTTGGTTCTATTAATAATGTTGTTAAATTAAATGAGTCTGGCTCGGCTCGGCTCATTTACAGGCCTCTTCTTTCATCAAACCAACACAATGTGAATTTATTTAAATTTCTGAACCCACTTAAATATGTGAGATCGCCTTGATCGCCTTTCTTCATCTCAAGTACATTTTTACTTTTATAGATTGTACTTTTTCTGCGTTCACTCATGGTCATGGTTAGAGAGATTACGAAAATGCATTATGACAGGGAAAATCAAGTAATGACGTGGTGGCCCCTGGTGATAGCAGACTTAAAAATGAAGGATCAAATGCGAGCAATACAGATGATTACACAGATGGCCATCAGCAATAGAGAATTCGGGTTGGGAGATAAAAGAGAAGGAAAAGTAAGATAATTTGAAGAATAGTATTTACGTGGTCAGATTCTTGCAACGAAAATCAGCAGCTACTTTTATAGATGGTATTAGAGATGAGCTTCTTCAGAAATCTCGAAAAATTAGATTGTGTTCATATTACATGTAAATTGCAGCCAGGTAAAGTTTTCCTGTCTTTTTAGGGGGGACTTGAAAAGAAATTATTCCTCATTTTTTAGCATATTAACATGTTCTTTTCCCTTTGGAGTTGTTTACTAGTGATATCATAATGCAGTATTTGGGTGTGATTTCTTATGAAAAATGAAAGAGACAAATGTCGTGATATAGATCTCATTAATTTTATGTATCTTTTAATAAATTTTCAATTGTGGGATTACGTATCCATAGAACTAATTCAAGACAAATTCAGCGTTCTAACCATCACAACCAAATTTGAATTATTTTTTCTTCCGTCATAAATGTGCATAATTTTATTAGACATGTTATATTTCTAATAAATAATATAAAATGTCATATTTTAAAAGATAATATAAGTATAATATTTGCTAGTATAAATATGTATTTTGTTCTCATGGTATAAATATATAAATATATATAGTATAAATATATATTTTGTTCGCATAGTATAACATCTTTTTTATAAATATGCATAATTTCTATTATAATCTTCTAATAACAATATATACTCACCCACAACACTTTCATGTCACCTTCATTCATACGAAAAAAAGGCTACAAAAGATTTACGAGGAATCATCGAATTTACTAATTTACCGCCTTTAACTGCACTTTGAATCATTATTACATTTTGCCATAATAATAAACCAAAAAATGAGTCACTTTGCTCCAAAAAATACTCATAAAATATTTCCCACAAAGGGTCATTAACCAAGTGAACTCCATTGTTTTTTTTATTTCTTCAATATTGAGATGAAAAAAAATATAAATAAAAATGCAAAACATTTTGTTTTCTGCAAAAATTTTAAGCATGTCAGTGGAACATACTAAGCAACCATCAGAAGATTCAAAACTCATGCTGTGGCCGACTGTTTCTCCTCATTTTCGTCCAGATTCAATGCTTCAAGCAGCTTTGGCCAAGATTCCGGTATACCACCAGGCAAATCAAATTCCAACAATTTCCCTAAGCCACGATAAAAATCCTCCACAGGTTGACTCTGCGCATCATCCAAAAAACATCATTTACATTTACTCGACTGATGTTGACAAAATTGGGAGACCACACATTTAGATCATCTCTGAATTATTTGGTTAGCTTATAAGCTTTCTGTATTTAAATAAGTTTCGTTTTTTGTAAGACAATTTTTTTAAAAAAAAACTCAAACTTATCTCATAAGCTTATTTGGGTAACTTTCAAATAAGTTCGTCCAATTTTTTATTTCAGCTAGTTTATTAGCTAATTTTATCAAATACTTTTATCATATAAGTTAGCTTTTCAACTATAAGTCATAAGCTATAAGCTCGAAAATCACTTATAAACTATAAGTTAGCTAGTTTTATCTGGTAGTTTTACCAAACATAGCCGTACTCTCAAATACAAAAAGTGAACTTCACGGAGTCGAAGCATAATTGTAATATGTATGAAGGCAGTACAGTACCTTTTCAGTATATATGCGGAGTCTTTCTTTAACAATAGCCTCTGTATCATCTGATCGAGTGATGAGCTTTGAGACACACTGTGAAGGAGGAGGAAGTGGAGCCATAACAATGTCGGGGTTCCCATTTTCACCCTTGACATTGATGGATGCCACATTGAAGTTCTTCCCACATTGGCTGCAAATCCTCCTCCCGAGGCATTTTTCTAGCAGTACATTTTCTGGGAGCTTGAGGTTTATCACCAGATCTATGTCCGTCACCTCATTCAGGATTTCCTAACACATAAGTGAAATAACAAATCCATTCAAATTTGCACGTGTTAGAACCAATTTACAGTTTAACATGCAACACAACACAACCTAAATCCCTTTTTTTTTTTTATGTGAAAATCCATAAAATGGCAGTAAATAGCTATTAGAAGCTACAATACTTTCCAATTTCAGATTTCCTCTCAACTCATAAATCTCGAAAGACAGCAGAGCTGAGAAATTGTATACAACAGCAAGGTCTCAACTCATATGTTGTAACCATTTGTATCAAACTGAATTAGCATTATTTTTCTTACTGGCAATCGACCCTGCCATATACTTCATTGCACATTTTTTAACAAATAAAAGTTTTTACTTACTGCTTGTCTAACCGTGCGGGGAAATCCATCAAGTATAAATCCCGATTCTCCTTGGGATTCTCCCTTCTCAAGCCTCTTTGACAACAAATTTATAATGATCTCATCCGATACCAATTTACCTTGGTTCACAATTGCAAGCTGCAACAGAGAAACAAATAAATCACTAAGTAGTCAGCAAAATAGTAGATAATAGAAGAGAATTACTACTTTTAAAACCAGTCAATGGATATGTGCTTAAAAATCATCACAAGCACAACACGTTACGGTGAATTAGCCAGCCTACACATTTGTTCACATTTCTTACTGTCACTAAAGAACTACGCCGAGTTTCAATAACATAAATTCAAACCGAAGTTCACTTTCAGGGAGAAAACATATACAGTATATCCAGTGTTAGTCTGCCTACTTCTTCCAAGAAAAATCATACTTTCGCCTATATCAAATCCAACCACCTCATCAGATCTCAATTCCACATACTCAATGATAAACTCAGATGTTAAATCATTTAACCCCAGCTACAAAATCTACTAAAACCACACTCACAACTCATACAAGTCCCACAAGCACACTCATATAACGATTCACCCAAAGTCTCATCAAATCCCAATCCCCACAAGCTCAATCGCACAACCCAGCCACAATATCGTCCAGCCGAGAGAACTCACCTGCTCGGAAAGAGGTCCAGACGATGACAGCTCTTCGCGGACAAGATCGCCGGTGGCGATGTGCGGGACGCCGAGCAGACCCGAAAGCCGGCTAGCGTACGTGCCTTTTCCGACGCCGGGGCAGCCCAGGAACACCCACTGGACGTTCCTGCCCTTGGGATCCACGCGAGGGGGAGGGGTGGGCTGCGATCTCGATTCGGCGGCGGCGGCGGCGGCGGCGGCGGCGGTGGACATGGATCTCCTGACGAAACAGGCGGAGCCGGCGGCGGTGGAGGAGGAGGATCTGAGGAGGCGGGCTATGGCCGCCATTGGTGTGAGAAGGGTTCTGCGAATGTGCTGAAAGAGGTAAAGGGCTTTAGAAGATGTGTTAATTTGTAGGCGTTACGATAAACGAACCTTTTTTTTTTTTAATTTATTTGAGGGGTGGGAATCTTTTCGAGATTCCATTTTTTATTCGAGCATCTTTTTTTTGTTTTTGTAAAAAATAGCAAATTGAGTGTATATTTAATTATATTTTTATTTTTATATATAAAATATGTAGATTAAATTAAAAATCGTGAAATCTATATCTATATCTATATCTATATCTATATATATATAAAGAGGTTGTTGGAAAAATACATTAGTAGAAAGTTTGACCAAATAAATATAATGTCTCACTTACTATTAATAGAAAGATCGAAAAAACACATGTGAATCTTTAGTAACAAAATCTAAATCCTATTTTTTTGGTAACAAATTTGGAGATTCTTATGGCAAAATTTGAATTCCATATTTTTCGTATCATATTTTATTTGTTTACAAAAATTTAAATCATATCTTTTTTGGTAACAAATTTGGAGATTCTTATCCAAAAAATGTGTCAATTATTTATGAAAACAATTCTAAATACAAATTAATTTAAAAACCGTGGAAATTTGATACAAATTTAAGAAACAAATAGTTGTATAATTCTTAACCAATTCTTCCAATCTTATTGAATAATTTTTCTTTCAAAAAAATTGTGTAAATTGGATAAAGCCACATGCAATTTTTATTTTAAAATAAAACTGATATTTGGACGGGATGTACATTCAAAATTGTGTCCACATTTTTTTGGTAACAAAAACAGTTCATCATTGATATTTAAAGTCACCTTATCCAATTATTTAGAAAAAATTATGTGCAACTTTTCAAAATTTAAATGCATCGATTTTTTTGGATTCTTATGTTTTTTTCTTAACCATGTTTTATCGAGATTTTGTTAAGCTCATATCATTTTTTTTTTGTTAAGTTCATATCATTTTCTGTAAGAAAGAGACAGTTGCATAAACATTAACAATTTATTTTAATTTTTTATTAGAATTATTTTCAATTCAATTTGTTTGGTACAAAAATTGGTGCAATGTTAGGAAAATTTAGTTGCATTTTTAGGAAAAATTGATGATTTTTTTATTTGGTTTAAAAAAAAAAACAGATCAATTTGTTTGATAAAAAAATCAGTTTATTGGTAAGAAAATCGGTTTCATTTCCGGGACTAACTAAGTTCTTTTCAATTTTTCTTGAAATTTAGAATTAGATTTAAAATAAATAATGGGTGAAAATCCTTAAAAAATTTTACTTTTTTTTCTACTTTAATTTTGTTCAATAAATAAGATCCTTTAATTTTTTAAAATTTGTGAACTAATAACTAATAATATGCAATTTGGATAAATTCGAACACCTATGTAGTACTTTACGTGCCAAAGAATCAAATCAATAATGTTGTACATAAGGAAGTGTTTAATAACATATAAATTTTATTTTCAAGAAATTTTTAATGGCATGAGACAATTTAAATACAAAAATATCTTTTAAAAAATATATATATATATAATAAATGCTACCGTGCATCGCACGGGCACCGTACTAGTTATGCTTTAAGTTAGTTGGATAATGAATGGTTTTAGTAGTGAAGTAATATAAATGATAATGTTTGTAATTGGGAAACGATATTGATAGCAAATAGTACAATTTTTGTTGTTAGTGATAAAAAAGTAAGTGGATTAGTAGTAAAATTTATAAATTCATTTTGAGTTGTTATTCGAATCATTTATTTCGCAAAATCAACTCTGTTCTGCTCGTTCGTCTACTTTAACAACTAAGCTCATTCGCGAACAACTCGTTTATTTATTTTTTTATATATTCTATAAATTTATAATGCTTATTGAACAATCAAGCTAAATCATCTTCACAAGCGAAATTATTTATGATTTTGAGTTTGTTAAACGAATTGATACGAGCACTTGCCTGTTAATGAGCATGACCGCAAACACGAAGTGCTTAGCTCAAATTACACTGCTAAATATTTGCATAGTAATTGTTGATTTTTAATTTAAAAAAAAAATAATAAAAGTGAAAAGAGCCAAAACAACAATAGTAATAAATGATATATTTTTTTGTTTAATTTTATATCGTTCCATTTTATAATTCACGTTGGGTAAAATTAGTTGATAAGTCAGCTTAAATAAAAATTTCAACTATTTTATTTGAAAAGCTACCAAAAAAATTTTATGTGATAAATTCGAACTTTTAAAAAAAACTCGTTCCATCTATTGAAGTTACAGAAGTAACATGAAATGATGGAATGTGAATTTTTGCATTAATATCAAGGATGATAATGAGCTTGTTTCTATATAAAAATAAAACACATGCACGACACATGCATGCTCACATGAGCTGGCCACCCGATGAATCATCTCCGACAGGCAGAAACTTTGTTGGAGTAGAGAAATTGTCTAGGAGAAAATATTCAAATCCATATGCACGAACAGTGGAAAGGATTTGCACATTCCATTATGAAAAATTCGTGCAATCGAGCCGAAGTGATAGAAGAGTGAGATGAGGAAAGGACTGAACGCCGACGACTCAACCATGGCGAAGAAATGAGCAGAGAAAAAAAAAATCAAAGGGTGGAGAAATTGGCTCTTGATACTATATTGAAGTTACAAAATTAACATGAAATAATGAAATGTGAATTTTTGCATTAATCTCAAGGATGATGACTTGTTTTTATACAAAAATATAGAACAGATGCACGACACATACATGCTCAGCCTTACCTTATCGGTGACCCAACCCAATGGGTCACCAGAAAAAAGACAAAAGAAGGCAAAAAAAATAAAAATAAAAATAAAAAAGGAAAAAGAGAAGATAATACGCGACCCAGGTCAGATGGTGACCTTGGGTTGCAACCGAGCTGCAAGCCACTTTTTTGCTTTCTTTTTTTTTTTATTTTTTTTATTCCATTATTGCTTTGAGTTTGGACGCTTTTTGTTATCTTTTTTTATTTTTTATTTTTTTATTCAATTATTGGATAAGGCATGGACACATGTCTCTTTTTAAGTGGAAGCAATAATTTTATTTTGATAAGATAAGATAACTTAATAATTGAGTTTATTTATATATTAAAAAATAAAATAAAAAATATCAAAATTCGTATTTTTTCATTCTCTATAAATAGAGACCACTCTTGATATGTTTTAGATCACAACTGAAATTTCTCTCTTTTCACCTTCTTCTTAATCATACCTTATTAATTTTATCATCTCTTTTATTTCTCTTTATTTCCAACAAATACCATATGGATCCAAATTTTGAGTATTACCTCAATTCTCAAAATTTGTCAAACTCTGAAAATTTTCAGAATTTCGAAAATTATTCACAAGAGCCATTTTCTCCTAATCTTACCCAATTTTCAGTTTTTGTAAATGCCCAACCCCCACAAAACATCTCCCGAAATTTATTTCAAAATGTGCAACAGACACGCACAAATCCTCAAAAAGGAACGAAAAATGTTAGTTGGAGTGTGGCGGAAGATCTTGCTCTAATGTCAGCTTGGTGTTTCGTTAGCGAAGACAAACTGTGTGGCAAGAATCAGAAGGGTTCTTCATTATGGTCACGCATAGCTCAAATGTTTGAGCAATCTCGAATGGAAAATCCAGAAGAAATTGGTGAAAGAAACTTGGATTCAATGAAAAGTCGTTATAAACGCCTTAATGAAAATGTAAACAAGTGGAGAGGTGCTTACATGGAAGCATACAGAAATAAAAGGAGCGGAATGAGCATGAAAGATGTTGAAAAAGAAGCTCATGTAATTTATGAACCTGGTGGTAGCAAGTTTACAGACTCGCATGTGTTTGAAGTAGTCATGCGAAAGCATCCCAAATGGGAATTAAAATTAGATCGTGATTCAACTCGTTCGCGCCCTGAAGATGAAGCGAGTAATGAAGAAAGCCATGGCAGTTCCAAAAGATCAAGGACTACTGAAGATGGAGATTATTCAATTCCCTCAAATCAAGAAACTCCAGTTAGTGATGATTTTGTGATTCCCCGGCCCGAAGGTAGAGATATGGCGAAAAAAAAAGGAAAAAATGTAGCATCACAATCTTCTTCCATTCCTGATGAGTTCACTGCAGAAATTCGTGCACTAAGACTTACAAGAAAGAACGAATGTGATTTAATGACAAAAATATCGAACGATAGGATGGAGTTGGAACGCAAGAAAGAAGAAAGGAAGATTAGGAAAATGAATATGATGGTGTTGAATACGCTGTTGGCAAAAGACCACTTATCGCCGGAAGACGAAGAGATGAGACGTCACTTAACTTCAATTTTATTTGGAAAGTCGATGTAATTTATTATCATGCAGCTTTCATTTATGTCGTTTTAATTATTCTGATGTAAGCTTTTCAATTCCTGTAATTCAAGTTATTCAATAAAAGTCTATTTATTAAGTGTTTTTCTCTAATATTTTTCAGTATTCACATGTTACTTCAATGATTGTCCTATCCACTAGTATAATAGTCACATATAAAAAGAATGACCAAGAGCTATTTGGAATATAGTGTATGAGTTATTACTATCAAATAGCAGTTTTATTTTGTCTTCCAAAATTCACATGCATTGAATCCGGATCAAATAGCAGCTTTATTTAATAAAATTTACATTCATTTAATGCACATGCAGCTTTTATTTATTTTACTTTACTTTTACTTTTACTTTACTTTACTTTTCTTTATATTAACTTTACTTTACTTTTTTTACATTTACTTTAATTTTATTTTAAGTTAAATCTACACCAACTCTTCATACTACATTCCTATATAACATGGTTGGATTCAGATCAAGTTGATATCAAAATCAGATCATATCTATTTTCTTTACATCAATTATAACTTTGTTTTTTCGCAAGACAATTCATTCTTGTTCAGAAATGTCTTCAACTGAAAACTCATCTGAAAATTCAAGTTCTAGTTCTGAAACTTCCAATTTCATCGAATTTGATGAATGGGAAGAATGAGTGATTCAACAAAATCAACAATTTGATCGTATTATGGAAGATTTGATTGTTCGTATTCCAAATATGGTCTTACAACCAACAAATCCCGTTTCTAGAGGTAGAAGGCAAGTCATTGAGAGGCAACGAGAGAGATAAGAGGCGAATGTATTCAATGACTGCTTCTCCGACAATCCAACCTATCCTGAAGAGGTATTTCGTCGGAGATTTCGCATGCGTAAGAATCTTTTTCTTCGTATAGTGAGTGAAATCACCACCAATGACGAATATTTTCAACAAAGGCGTGATGCCACTGGTAGGCTGGGCATTTCACCATTGCAGAAATGTACTGCAGCCATAAGGGTGTTGGCCTATGGAACATCAGCGGATGATGTTGATGAGTACTTGCGAATAAGTGAAGCTGTAACGAGGGAATCTCTCATGAAATTCGTAGAAGGCGTCATTTCTAACTTCGGCGGCCAATACCTCAGAAGACCTAATGAACAAGATTTGGCAAGAATACTTCATGCGGGGGAGCAACGTGGATTCCCAGGAATGATGGGAAGTATTGATTGCATGCATTGGGGTTGAAAAAATTGTCCTACAGCATGGGCTGGACAATATGCAGGAAGAAGTGGAAAACCAACAATTATTTTGGAAGCTGTTGCATCATATGACTTATGGATATGGCATGCGTTTTTTGGAACACCAGGTTCGTGCAACGATATTAATGTACTTCACCAATCTCCTGTTTTTGATGATATTTTGGAAGGTCGTGCACCAGAAATTAGCTACGTTGTGAATGGTCAACAAAGAAATATGAGATATTACCTCACTTAGGGTATATATCCTTCATGGGCCACATTTGTTAAATCAATTACTTCTCCACAACTTCGAAAGCACAAATTGTTTGCTCAGCACCAAGAGGCGGCTAGAAAAGATGTTGAGCACGCATTTGGTGTTCTACAAGCTCGTTTTGCATTTATCAAACGACCATGTCTAGTATGGGATCGTTTTTTTATGGGAAGAATTATGATGGCTTGTATCATCATGCACAATATGATAGTAGAAGATGAACGGGACGCCTACTTGAATTATTATGATCCTAAAGAATTTATGGACGAGAGGCCTACAAACGGACGGAGGCAACAAAGAAGGAACATAAGAAATGGCGTAGAAGAAGAGGAAGATGATATGCCTTTTCAATACTCGACTGAAAGAATCACAAATCTATCTACGTATATGACCAATATAGGTCACAACTCCGTAATAGAGAAGCTCACGTGACTTTGAAAAATGACTTGATTGAGCACATGTGGAAAAAATTTGGCAATCGTAGTTGATGTGTAATTTCATTTGAAATGTTTGTAACTTGTTTAGTTTATTTCGTACCGAATTATGCAATTTCAATTTTTAATTATGTTTGTAATATTTTTTTTAGTTGTATTTTAAAATATTAATTTTTTGAAATCAATATTTTTAATTATAATTTTTTTAATTAATTTATCACAACTAAAAAAAATAACAAAACATTGATTGTAGATAATATTTAATAAATAAAAATAAAATAAATAGTATGTTGGGTTGGATTGGGTTGGGTTAGGGATAAAGATATGTAGGTTGTTAAAAATTAAGTTGTGTAAGTGGAGGAGAGAAAAATAATTTTTTATTATTGAGTTGGGTTGGGTTAGGTTGGGGATAAAGATAGTCTAATATGAGCTTGCCACTAATAGCCAACCTCCTAACTAACTTCACATGATAAGCAAGCTTACTAACCAAGCTATGTCTAACTACCATAACAAACTACAATCAAGCTATATCATAATACTATAAAACCGAACAAACTGTAAGTTAGTTTTGGTGAAAACTTTATTATAAAATTAATCAAACAAAAGTTAGTTTTGGTGTTTACCAAACACACACTCAATGATGTTACCTCAATATTTATGCATATTTGACAAATATATAAGTTAACTTATATTAAGTTAGTTTTTATAAGTTTATAGTAATTAAATAAGTTTCCACAAAATTAAATCAATAATATAATACAAATGCTATTATTTCCAGGATAGTTTTATGAAATAAGATTTTTTCCGCCACGTGTAAGCTCAAAATCCACACACCCATTTTAACCGTCACAAGCCAGCGACGGGCGCAAGTTCCAACCGTTGCTCTCCTGCCATGGCGGCTCCTCTCTCCGCAACGACGCCGTACGGCGTCGCTTCAGCAAATGTGAAAGCTCACATCCACCTCTCATACGACCTCGTGTGCTCGAAGCCGTCGTTGAATCTCCATCACTGCCCTAAATTTCAGCTTACCCATTTTCCCCAAGCCAAATTTTCCTTGAAATGTAATTTACGGGTACAGACACCTCCATCCGCCATCTCCGGTGCTCCAGGTAAGCTTCAAACTGACTTCGTTTTATGCGATTTTATCACCTGTCTGTTATTATTCAGCGGCCATGGAGTTCACAATAGGGTTAATAATTGTTTATTTACTTAATGTTATTTTTTGCACACCTACAATTTGGAATTCGAAGGATAAAGTGTCAGTGATGACTGATGAGTGATGGCACACTCAATAAGCTCTGATTGTAAATGTTTTAGCAATAAATTGCTTCAACACTATCAGTTGAGTGGGGTTCGTAATTAGAGCTGTAAATGAGCTGACCTAACGAGCTGAGTAAGGTAATAATTCGGGAAATTACGTAAAAATCCATATTTGTCGAGCTTAACGAGCGTCAACTAAACAAGCTCGAGTTCGGTTCGTTTATCAAACAAGACGATCCGAACTCGAGCCTAGCCAAGCCAAGCTTATGAGCAGCTAGGTTTGTTTAACAGCTCTATTCGTAATTAGTATTTTTAGTATTGTGTTAAGCATAAATGCAATGAGTTTGTAAAAAATCTCAATAATTTAATTATTGCTGGCTTAAATGTAGCTAGCTACTTTGCAGTTAAAGGAAATCAAAGTGAGTTACAATAGAGCATTAAGTTTAGATGCTGAAAAATATCAAGATGAAACAAAAAATCTGATAAGTATCTATTAGTCCATAAACCTTGTAAGTTGAAGTGGATTGACGATGATTTAAATATTTTTGTAAATCAGGTGCCGAGAGTTCAGCCGGAACTGAGGATACCACGTACTCGCTGGATAACGCGCAAGTGGTTGACTTGAATGGAAATGGAATTCCAATATCTGATTTGTGGAAAGATAGGAAAGCTGTGGTTGCATTTGCCCGTCATTTTGGGTAATCATTTGATCCTCCTGCTTCAATAGCTTATTGTTGAACACGCATTGGTGCTTGTGATCCATTTTTGTCTGCAGATGCGTACTATGCCGAAAACGAGCTGATTACCTTGCAGCTGAGAAGGTAAAATGTGGAAACAGGACAGGGAAACTAATGCAAATATGTAATATTTTATGTAAATGAAAACATTGTTCAAGGAATAGATTTGTTATAGGCACCTTGCATCACTTGTAAAATCAGAGTATTGGGTTGACACGACCTTTCCGAATAGCAAGTAACTATGTTAGTAAAATGTAACATTAACGACTAGATCGAATAGTAAGTCTTACTATGTTCATTTTCTATCTGGAACCGAATTTCATATTTTTTTTTCCTGAATGCTTCCACAAAATCAGAGAAGCTGTCCTTTTCTTTTTCCATCTATTTTTGCCTACACATTTTATGCTGGCGGGATTGCATTTTACGTCAGTTAGAATTGAGATATGTTATTTCTGACATCTATAGCACTTGAAGGGTCAAATTTAAGGTTCCTATTAGATATTGCACTTTTTTTTGACAGGATAAGATGGATGCTGCTGGGGTGGCGCTTGTTTTAATTGGGCCCGGTAGTGTTGATCAGGTATATAATGATGTAACTCATGGTTTTTGGTTCTTGGCAGCCAAGCACAATAATAAGTCTGAGAGAAATTGGATTTAATCTGTTTGAATTTTTTGCTTCTGTATTTTTTTTCTTTTTCAATTTGTTTCTTCTTATTTCCCCCCATTTATCTGTTGGCACCACAGAAAGGTTAAAAAGTTATATTGGGTACTTGACTAGCTTTTCTTGTGGCAGGCAAAGAAATTCTTCGAACAGACAAAATTTAAAGGAGGTAATTTTTCAGATTGGTTATGTATCATTTGGCTTCATTTTTGTTGTCATATTGTATCTGCTCGAAGGAATGCGTCCAAATCATTTCATTAGAATCGATACTCTTGAGCTTGATTGGTTTTAATGTTAGTTTAAAATGTTACCATCCAGGAACAGATAGAAAAGAAATCTTAAAACGATTTGGCACAAAGTGCCATGTGGTAAAATCTCATATGTTGAAATCTACCTCTATAAAATTACGAAGTATAAGAACCGGGAAAGAGAGAATCATAAATATTGTCCAACACTGTCACCCACCTGATCAGAATTTCATCCGATGAGCCGCAAAAACTTGATTGTTTTGACAGCATGTTTTTTTAGAAAACTTTTTCCATTGCAGAGATATATGCGGACCCTAGCTATGCGTCATATAAGGCACTGAATTTTGTATCTGGTGTTACCACCACAGTTACTGCCGGGGTATGGTAAAGCACCAAATTTCTCTCTATTACATATTATTCGTCATTAGTTACTGGCTACACTATTTTTTTCCTTTTCTGAAAGGTTCATCTAAGATTTTTTTTTTTTTTTAATTAATATCTTCTTCTCAGGCTGGCTTGAAGATAATTGAGGCATATGTTGAAGGATATCGGCAAGACTGGGCGCTATCTTTTGAGAAGGATACCCGGACAAGAGGTGGCTGGTATGTTCAATGTCAACAGTAAAATGCATCTTGTTCGAGTTAAAATATTGTTTTCACGCCCATATATGGCTAATATGACAAATTTAAAAGCTTCCTTACTTAAACAAGATTTTTATGACATTTATAGACACTTATGCTTTTGCCCTGCTGCATTAGGGTTACAACTATTTAGCTTGACAAGTTTTTGTGAAGTAATTTTTATGACCCGTCATATATTTATATTGATTAGTTATTGTTCGTTTTTGCAGGCAGCAAGGGGGCATCCTTGTTGCAGGCCCTGGTAAAAACAACTTCTCATATATCCACAAGGTTATTTATTCCCTACTAGTATTCGACTCTGTGCATTTGCACAGATATAAATAAAATTAAATATTATAAGTTATATTTATATATATAATATAAAAATTATAAATTATATAATTGTATTATATTTCAAACATATAGTATTATAAATTATATTTATGTATATAATATTAAAATTATAAATTATATAATAATATTATATTTTAAAATTTGATCATTGGTTAAAATAAATAGTACACACGATTTGATTGTATACGAATCACTATATTAATTGCATAAAATGTAATAAATATATACATTTTATAATTTTGAGTGATCATGACCAATTAATTAGCTGAAAAATATTACATTTATTATAACAATTTCTTATGTGATTTTGAGAAATTTTACTATGACATAAAAAAAATTAATTTATTAATAAACAACCGCTTCATCATATAAAAAAATATTAATTTTAGTGTAAAATATAATTTTATGTAACTTTCATATATTTAGTATAAAATATAATTACTAATTTTAATATTAACTATTATATTATTCAATAAAAAATATAATTATTAATCAATTAACATAAAATATAATGGTTTTTGTCTTAATTAACCCAAAAAAATGTAATGAAATATTTTCTTATTAATGAGATTGGGTGTATTAATGCCACATAAATAAAATTTATTAGGTTTTCTTTATTAGGTTTTATTAATGATTTGCCACATAGGTAAAATTTATTAGGTTTTATTTATTAGGTAAAATTTATTGCTTAGCTAGCAATTATATATATATAGATTCGTCCTCAAGTCCATATTGAGATAGTCGGCTAATTAATATAGATAGACTTTGGAAGTTTGTCCTAGCCATTTTGAGTTTGATGATGTGCATGTTTAATCAACATTCCATTGGAAATGCTATGATATTATCTACTTGATATGTTTCATTTCGATTTGTTCAGTTGGAAAACAATAAATTTCGTCAACTTATTAGTTTCGAATAAAACTTTCTGCAAATGTTTGGTTTGGTTTACGTAGGACAAAGAAGCAGGTGACGACCCAGATGTACAAGATATCTTGAAGGCTTGCTGTTTGCAAGGTAAATGAAAAGCAGTCTCGAGGTTTTGTATAATTTCCTGTTGTATATATATGTCGGTATATATAAACGTATATACACAACATATCGAAACTTGTGGATCTTGCATTTGTAACTGGTTAGTTGAATAAAATGTAATATTCAGCTGCAACCAAAGTCTAGTTAAGCTTTGTGTGAGGCATGTTACTATGGGATATGTTCTATATGAGGTGCCAACTTTGTTTAATAAATTTTGGAACTTTTAAAAGCTATGAATAATTAGTGACTTTACAAGTATCCATATCTATATATGCAAAAAGATTTAATAAAAATGTGATATATTTTCTGGCCAGTTTGTTTTGTATGGAAAGGGAAATTCAACTTTGGGTAAATTTTACTTTTAATTTTTGGTTTGTTTGCTTTTAAAATAAATCGGCTGGTTATTTGTCGAAGTACTGAGTAAATTATTGTTTGGCAGTGGAAAATTGAAATATTCATAACATGTTTTTTTTTTTATTATTTATAAGTTATGCAAAGTGAATAAAACCAAACAGTAAATTTTCACATATTGTATTTGAAAATCACGAAAGTTCATGATATTTTAAGTAATATAGACATGAATTTATCATATACCAGGACAAATAAAAGAAAAGATGAAATTAATATTTAAATAATATTTTTAAATTTTACAGATAGCATGATCATCGCTTTTAGTTTTTACATTTTTTTTCCAAATTGTATTTGTCCTTCAATCATATTGTTATTGGTGATAATTAGACTTTTATTTTTTTTTCCTTATTGTATTTGTCCGTCAATCACATTGTTATTAGTGGTAGTTAGGAATTTAATGAAACGAGTTAGTTTGTTTAACTAAACTAGTCGAGTTTGAGCTCATTTAACTAACAAGCATTATAGCTCAGCTTATTAACAATGAATAAATGAGTCAAACTCAAATTTGTTTACCAAACTCGGCTAGACGAGTACACGAAAAGTTCGAGCTCAGTTCCACTTGTTTACATCTACTCGGGACACCAATTTGATTTTTTTTTTTTTTTCAAAACGATTAAATATCTCATACCATAAAAAGGAATGTTTACAATCGGAGGGCTCACTAGCCTTTACAACATAAATGGAGAACCACTCCTACCAGGTGGCCTAACTCAACAAAAGCAAGCACCAAAGGCATAACCGAAGTTACGAGCACCTAAAGCACTTCCAAACCTAAAAACCACACCACACAAAGATATCTACAATCTAAAAAACCATACAACACAATTCCAAGCCACTGACCTTACAAACAGGACCTAGCTATGGATATAAAAAACAAAACAGCAACAACTAGTAATACTACCACTCAAAGGACACAAAAAACAACAACCTACATTACACAATACTCAGTCCATTCCCTGTGAGCCAGCCTGGCCACAGTCTCCTCTGGTATCCATGAGTTTTGAAAGACCCACAAATTCCGGGACTTCCATAACCACCACAAAATATACGTTGACAATTGAATACGGGCTTCAGAAATGGGTATTAGCTTCATTTCTACAATCTGCCACCACCATCCCTTAAAACTTGTTGTGACAGCATCATTGAAATCTCAGAAAACAGTCACACACACTGAGCTCTTCTGCATTCAAAGAAAACATGTGCAACAGATTCAATGTCCTCACCACAGCATCTACAAATAGCATTCACATCCAACCTCCTCTACACCAAATTATGACACACTCGTAGATTATTTGTAAAACACTTCCATAAGAAATGTCTTAACTTGGGCTTGACTTTTAAGGACCAGCATCTCAATCTTGCTTTTTTATCCAAAGCCAGAGTGTAGCTGCTACTTGGGGTGTCTAGCCACCAATTTGATTTTGATTGGTCACTAATTTATGTTTACTTATTAGCAGGACATACGTGTGAAAATCAGATGCTAAACGACGTCGCACCCCACGATTTTTCTACTAAAAAAGCCAGAATTATCGAGTGCGAGTGGGAGTGGGAGTGGGAGTGGGGAATGGAAAATTAGCCCTAGCGTGGTCTCAGAGCTCAGACTCAATTTCCCGCTTAACCCAAATCCCAAAACCCCCCAAAAATGGCCGACAAGAGGAAGCGCCGCCGCGCCGCTGCCGACTCCGACGACGAATCCGACCCGCTCCAGTTCAAATCCAAGCTCAAGCCCGACTCCTCCATCCTCCAGATCCTCAAAACCCTCAAGTCCTCCGCCGCCACCGCCTCCGCCGCCGCGCGATCCGTTTCCCTCTCCGATCTCAACCTCTCCACCGCCTGCCGCGAGGTTTCCGACCTCCCTCTCTCCTCCGTCCAATCCTCCATCGAGTCCCTCACCGTTTCCCTCGCCCGCTCCATCCTCGCCGGCGACGGCTTCTCCTTCTCAGTCCCCTCACGCGCCGCCGCCAACCAGCTCTACGTCCCCGAGCTCGACCGCATCGTCCTCAAGGACAAGTCTTCCGGCCGCCCCTTCGCCAGCGTCTCCTCCGTGCGCAAGGCCACCATTACCACCCGCATCCTCCAGCTCATCCACCAGCTCTGCCTCAGGAGCATCCACGTCACCAAGCGCGACCTCTTCTACACTGACGTCAAGCTCTTCCAGGACCAGTCCCAGTCGGACGCCATCCTCGACGATGTCTCCTGCATCCTCGGCTGCACCAGATCCAGCCTGAACGTGGTCGCAGCTGAGAAAGGCGTTGTGGTCGGCAGGCTCATCTTCAGCGACAATGGAGACATGATCGACTGCACTAAAATGGGGATTGGCGGGAAAGCAATCCCTCCCAACATCGACCGTGTGGGGGATATGCAGAGTGACGCCTTGTTCATCCTCCTCGTCGAAAAAGATGCAGCTTACATGAGGTTAGCTGAGGACAGGTTCTACAATCGATTTCCCTGCATAATCGTGACTGCCAAAGGCCAGCCGGATGTGGCCACTCGATTATTCCTTCGGAAAATGAAAATGGAACTGAAACTTCCAGTTCTAGCCCTAGTCGACAGTGACCCGTACGGGCTCAAGATTTTGTCTGTGTATGGTTGCGGGTCGAAAAACATGTCTTATGATAGCGCAAATCTGACGACCCCCGATATAAAGTGGCTGGGGATTAGGCCAAGTGATCTTGACAAGTACAAGATTCCGGAGCAGTGTAGGCTGCCGATGACCGAGACTGATATCAAGACGGGTCGGGATTTGCTGGAGGAGGATTTCGTGAAGAAAAATGAGGGTTGGGTGGAGGAGCTGAATCTGATGGTAAAATCGAGGCAGAAGGCTGAGATACAGGCGTTGAGCTCGTTCGGGTTTCAGTATCTGACGGAGGTTTATCTGCCCTTGAAGTTGCAGCAGCAGGATTGGCTCTGAGTTCTGAGTGATGGTTTTTCTATCTAATGGCTTTTTTTTTTCCTAAAGAAAATAAAATGTTCTCTTTTTTTGTGGAGGATGTGCTTGGATCGATCATGATGGTTTTGTTCATCCAGAAGGGATGTGTTGTGTTCAGATTCTAAATTGAAACTTGGTGTGACTTGTACTCATATTTGCAGTTGTTTTCAAATGGAATCTTCACTTTGATAGCTAACATTTCTTGGTTTTTAAGATGAATTTAGCATTGTATTCGATCCTATCTGTGTGGGTAGTTCTCGAGTTTGCACACACCCATGTTGGTGTGTTGATCAAACGTTGAAAATTTCGTACTTCGGTAGGATGAAGTACACCACTGTGGATGGATGATGAGACCTGTTTTTCAGAATGTTTAAAATGATAGAATTAGTTTTCTTGGTGAGTTTCACTTTGGTGTCTGTTTGCTTAAGGAGTTGATATGATGATAAATTGAAGGATTTGAGTTACTTGGAAGTATTGTATTGCAGAAAATAATCAACCATCCCTATAGTAGTTTTTTTGTTATAGTATTTTTGTTTTAAATCTCTATTTCACCTAATGTATTATTGCAAACCAGCTCGCGAGTTGTGTGAAGGCTAATCTTATACCAGTAATGCTAAGGAGTCAATAGCCAATGGGACAATTCTATGTGGGGTTGTTCCACATGTCTCCAATGTTGGACAGCCCCACATGGAGCTGTCTCATTGGTTGTTGGCTCAGCATTATTGAATCTCATACAGTCCAACCAAACAATTTGATGAAGTAACTAGTGCAATGTAAATGACAATCTCATTTCAAGCATGAAGCCAAGCCCTTGACTGAGGTTATTTATTTGGAAGACCATTGACAAATGTAGGGACGTCAACATTAATGGTGATGATTTAGGGCAATCTTAGGAGATCAATAAAGGACCATTCAACATCACTTCCTTTAGTGGTTATGTTCTCTCTTTTGATTGCATAGTGCAATGACGGCGCCATAAAGGAGGGTTAAATTATCTCTTTGGGTTGCATAGAGAGTAATAAGGGTGCCATTAAAAATATGTGAGTTTGATATAAAACTAGTATTCGACCTGTGCATATGCACAGATATAAATAAATTATTGTGAGTCTGTATGCATATAATGATTAATTATTTTTCTTTCACTTTTTTGCAGACCAAATTTACAATTAAAAGAGTTGTAATAATTTTTTTTTAAAAATTGCGTTTATCTGATTGGATGTAATGTATATTTTGGTACGTCTTTTATTTGTGAATTATTTATTATTTATTTAGAAATTTCAAATATATTTTTTATTTAGAAAAAAATTAAATGTAACAACAATAATAACATCTAATCACATTATACGGTCAACACATTATATAGTCAACTGTCATTAATCAAAAGTTTAAAATAATTTTTGTAATTTTGAAGTGATGAGTATTAATTATTTAATGATTAAATGAAAGATTAAATACATCAAAATGTAACGGTTTTTGGAGGGAAAATTGTTAAATTGCCACATAGGTAAAATTAAATAGGTTTTATTAAATGTTATTAGCTAGTAAATATATATATATATATATAGATTAATGTAATGTGCGAGTTTGATGTGATGTTATTTAATTATATTGACAATATTGAGTATAGTTGAATTAAATTTGAGTTGTATTTGAGTTAAATAATGTAAAAAAATTATCTCGTCCATCAAAATCGGCTTTAACTTGTAGTCAATCACGTCTTAAATAATTTACTATAGTCTGTCATAGACATGCTAACAGTTAGATAATCATACTTTTTAATAGATATAACACGATGAAAAAATAATGAAAGACAGGTAAGGTAATATAAAAAGGATAAATTGAATTTGCTATTTTATTTACAAGGAATTTGCTATTTTACTTACAAGGATAATTTGACTTTCTTAGTGGGCCTTAGCCCAATCCAACAATTCAAGCCATAAACTAGATGGATACCAGAGCACCAACCCAAGCCCGCTAAACTCTGGAAGGGTGTTATCGTAACCTCCAATCCCGGTAGTTTTCTCGAAAACCATGGCGCCTGCCCGCCTGAGAAATGAGAACCCTCATCTCAACCCCCAAGTCACCCCCACACCACGACTCCTCCTCCGCCGCGACCGGCCGCAGTTTCTTCTCCGGCGCCGGAGAATATCATCCGACCACCGATTGTCCGAGTGAAAATTCCAATCTACAGATCGTAGAAATCGGAAAATGCCTCCTAAACAGCAATCGAAGGCGGATTTAGCGAAGAAGCAGAAGGTAGTCGAGGACAAAACCTTCGGTTTGAAGAACAAGAACAAGTCAAAAAATGTTCAGAAATACGTGCAGTCCCTCAAGCAGTCTGTTCAGCCCAAGCCCGAACCGAGCAAACTCAATGCCCAGGTCGAGCACTCGAGCTTATTTCACCATTTATTTTTTTTCATTTTTTTTGTAATTAGCTTTTCATGCTTCGAGTATTTTTGTTGATAATTTTGACGATTATTGGATTCAACAGAAGAAGAAAGAAGAGGAGAAGGCCAGGGAGAAGGAGCTCCAGGAGTTGTTTAAGGTTGCTGTTAAACAACCTAAAGTTCCTGTCGGTAAAATTCTCTGAGTCATGTTGATTAAATATTAGCACAGTGGAAATTTACTGTATTACGTTGTGTTTGATTGTCGATTTGCGTATGCTTTGGTGGTTGATTTCGTTGCGAGTTGTTCTGTAGATTTAGAGTGGTGATGATATCATGAAGTTTCTTCTAGGTTGGTTTAGGGAAAAATTAAGTGATGATATCATATTAAATATGAGATTATTTTCAGGTGTTGATCCGAAGTCGATTGTGTGTGAGCATTTTAAGGTCGGGCAATGTGCGAAAGGGTTTAAGTGCAAATTTTCTCATGACTTGAATGTGCAGAGGAAAGGAGAGAAGATAGATATCTACAGTGATAAACGAGATCAAGGTTGATATTCAAAGTTTCTTTTACTCCATTTCTTGATATCTCTAGTTCTTGTAGTTGCTATTTCCCATTTAATATTTCCTGCATATTTCTGAACCTTTTGCTTTGTGTCAAAATGAAAAAGAACAAGAAACTATGGAGGAGTGGGACCAAGAGACATTGGAGAAAGTTGTTGCGTCCAAGAGCAATGAGTACAACAAGAACAAGCCTACTGATATAGTAAGACATTTTCCTTCAGCTGGCTATCTTGTTGAGCTATCTCCTGGGAATGATGAGAGTGTTACTTTTACAATTTGTTACTTGTTATTCTTTCATGGGATTCTAATATACCCATGAATATTTCATTAGTCACTGCAAGAGGATGATATGATAAGTAGGCATTCTTAAA